GTTTGGACCTCTCAGGCGGGAGCCTCGTTTTGAGTGCTTGTTGGAGGACCTTTCAGGCGGGAGCCAGAGGATTCATATTGAATTTGGATGGGATCCGAAAGAAACCTCACTAGAAACGGAGCAGGTCCCATATCCAAAGGATGCCTATTGAGTTTGAATCGGACCCTAATCGGATTTCAATAGGAACGGAGCATCTCCTAAATCCAGAGGGTTTTCATTGGATTTGAATACGATGCTAATTGGATTTCAGCATGAACGGGGCAGGTCCCAGATCCAAAGAATTCCAATTGATGTTGATCAAGTTTGTGATCATATTACGATAGGAAAAAGAACAGATCCCAGATCCAGAGGATCCCTATTGAATTTGGTTCGGGTTCTCATCAGATTGCAAAAGAAACGGAGCAGATACCAAATCCAGAAGATTCCCAATGGATTTGAATCGGGGTCGATTCGGGTTTCAATAGAAACGGAACAGATCTCAGATACAGAGGATTCCGCAGATGAGGGGGAGGACAGAAGCAGAAATAAGTGGAAAGCATCGAAGACGAGGATGATGAGGAGATGAGGGGAATGAGAAGGATGAATGATGATAGGAGCGAAAGGAGGAGGAGAGAGGAAGATTATGATAAGGAGGAGGAGGAGGAGGAATATGAGGCGGATAAGGAGGAAGGAGGAGGAGAGAAGAGGAGGGGGAGGACGAGAGGTGAGGAGAGACGCGAGGAGGGAGCAGGAGGAGGAAGAGGAGCATGAGGATGAATATCACTCCCTCTCCGCAGTCTTCCATGTGGGGGATACGAAGAAAAGGAGGAGGAATAGAACAAGAAGGAGGATGAGCAGTGATCCTCATCATCTGCCGCCTCCTCCTTTTCCTTATCATATCGCTTGCCCGCCTCTTTATCCTCATCATCATGGTCCTACTCCTTTACATCCTACGTATTCTGCTGCTCCTCACACCACTCCTCCATCGCATCCTCCTGCTCCTTATTACCCTCCGTTGCCTCCTTCTCCTCCTGCACCTCATCCGCCTCCTCTGCACATCCTCCTCTGCCTCATATCACTCTCCCTCCGCCTATCCCCCTCTCCTCCTCCCATAGGGGCGATGGGAGGAGGATGGGAAGGAGGAGGACAAGTGATGTAACGATGAGAATTGGGATGGCGAGCATCCCTTTGGAAACCATTACAAAGGGATTCTCTAGGACAGCCTTCTCCTTCCTCCGCCTCCTCCTCTTCCGCATCGCCCTCCTCCTCCTCCTACCCTTCCTCCTCCTCTTCCTTGTTCCTTCTCCTCCTCCCCCTCCTCCTCCTCCTTCTCCTCCTCCTCCCAATCAGAATCCCCTTTACGGAGCAGAATCCAGCAAAACTCTTGGAAAAAAGCCCAAAAAAGCAATCCTGAGGGACTTCCCCCCCCTCCACCCCACCCCCCAGGAAGTTCCCGGAGGATTGCTTTTTTGTTTTGTTTGCTTTTTTCCAATGGTTTTGCTTGATCCCGCCTTCGATCGGGGAATCTGATTGGGAGGAGGAGGAGGAAGAGGAGGAGTGGGAGAAGGAGGAGTGGGAGAAGGAGGAGGAGGAGGAGGAGGAGGAGGAGGAGGAAGAGGGAGGCGGACGAGGAGGGATGCACTCACCTCCTTCCGTATGCTACAAAGGGAGGAGGTGAGACAGAGGCTTTCTGGATAAAATCTGAAAATCGCGGGGGTCCGAAACCGAACTGGAACCTGAGGTGGCATACGCCATTTCGTTTTTTCTTAAAAACGCAGGGGGCCCAAACGATCCTCAAACCCCCGATTCTGTTGGGTTTCCGACTGCACAACGCATTGAGGGCCCAACTTGTGGATGCACGATGGGATGGCGTCAGTCTCGGAGAAGGGTGCGTCCGAGAATGCCCCTGGGGGCGCGTCCCCGAGTTCCCTTTCCTCCTGAACATGTCTTCCAAACTGCCAGATCTGGGGGAGCTCAAAGATTTGGGGGGCGAGCACTCGCCTGCGATTCGGCACGCCCGCTCCCGACGCGGCCCCGGCTCCCAGCGCACCGGCTAGTCGAGGAACGCGACGTCTGCGTCGATCACCGTCGGAGCCTTCCTGGGCGGCGGCGGAGGTGGGACGCCGACCGCGCCCGCGGGCGACGGCACCTCCGAGATGGCCTCGGCCACCGGCGACGCGGAAGACGGCGTGGCCGTCGGCACGACCTCGGGCATCGGCGAGGCTGGAGGTGCCGTTGCCGCCGGCGCAGTGGAGGCCATGGGAGTGGACCCCATGGTGGCCATGGGCGACGTGACCGGGGCCACTGTCGGCGCCGTCGGCATGGCGCCCAGCGTGGGCTCCGCAGCCAGGCCCCCGAAGAGGCTGCCGAGCGCGCCAAGGTCCGGGGCGCCGTCCGCGCTGCCCCACGGCGACGCCGCCTGGCTGCCGGGCATGCCCCCCATGCCGGGCATGCCAGAGCCGCCAGACATGCCCGGCATCATCATGCCCATCAAGTCCTGCACGCTGGTGGGGAACTTGGCCTCCAGAGCGGGGAAGAGTTCTTTGACGCGGAGATCCCAATGCGTGCACCCCAGTTTTTTCCACGCCCGTCTGTGAGTGCCCAATAAAGAAGATATTAGACTGTGGCGACGGAGGGCTCCCTGGCGGCTCCCGCTCGGACTGCCCAAATGCTATGCCTGCTACGGCGGGATGTCCGCATATTCCCTTCATCAGTGTTTGAGCATGAGGGCTTTCAAGCATGAGTGAGACTGCGCGCGCGCAAGTCCGAGCGCGGGCGACCATTCCTGCCATGCGCATCGCGCTGAGCACTGGGCTCTGAAAAGTGAAAGACGTCTGATCAACCAAGCAGGAAAATCGCCTGAGATATCCTAACAATCTGGCGCGAACGGGCTAATGTTCCCACTCCTGGCGGCTTCGCCTTGGGGGGCTCCAGTGCCAGGCCTGCTACATCGCGATGTGTTGGCGCTCTGCAACGAAAGATTCCCGATCAACCAAACAGGCAAACCGCCCGAGACATCCCCACAATCCTGGGGCTAACGGGCACGTGTTCCCACTCTTGGCGGCTCCTCGTTAGAGTGCTCAAGCGCCACGCCTGCTACATCGCGATGAGCATGAGGGTCGGAGGAAAGAGGCGCCTGATCAACTTAACAAGCAAACGTCCAGAGACATCCCAACAATCTGGGCGCGAATGGGCGCATGTCCCCACCACTGGCGGCTCCTCCTTGGGGTGCTCATGTACCACGTCTGCAACAGCTCAATTAGCATGAGGCTCAGGAAAGAAAAAGAAGTCGGATCAACCAAGAGTTCAAACCTCGTCAGGCTTCCCAGCAATCTGAGCGCGAGCGGGCGCATGTCCCGACCCCTGGCGGCTCCTCCTGGGGTTTCTCAAGCGCCACGCCTGCTATATCGCGATAAACATGGGGCTCTGAGTGGAGAGAAATCTAATCGACCAACGCTCAAATCGGCTGAGACGTACCAACGATCTGGGTGCGAACGGGCTCCCCTTTGGGGTGCTCGAATGCCACGCCTGCTACATCGCAATGAGCATGGGGCCCTGAAAAAAAAACGAAGTCGGATCAACCAAGCTACCAAGCGTTCTGAGACATCCCAGCAACATGTGCGCAAACGGGCACGTGTCCCAACCCCTGGCGGCCGCTTCTTGGGCTTCTCAAGTGCCACGCCTGCTACATCGTGGTGAGCATGAGGCTTCGCAGAAGACAAGCCTGATCCACCAACCAGGCAAGCGGCCTAGGACACCCCGAAACTCTTGGCGCGACCTGGCACATGTCCCATCTGGCGGCTCCTGTTTGGGGTGCTCAAGTGTCGCGCATGCTACATCGTGATGAGCACAGGGCTTAGCAGTAGAACAATCTTATCAATCAAACGTTGAAACCGCCTGAGACATCCCCACAATCTGGGCGCAAACGGGCGCATGTCCCCACCACTGGCGGCTCCTCCGTGGGATGCTCAGATGCCACGCCTGCCACATTGCGATGAACATGAGGCTCAGAAAAGAAAGAGGAGTCGGATCAACCAAGCGTTCAAACCTCGTCAGACATCTGGGGTGCTCAAATGCCACGCCTGCTACATCGCGATGAGCATGGGGCTCTGACAAGAAAAAAACAATGTCGGACCAACCAAACTTGCAAACGTTCTGAAACATTCCAGCAACATGTGCGCAAACGGGCATATGTCCCACCCCCTGGCTGCTCTTCCTCGGGTGTCTCAAGTGCCACGCCTGCTACACCGTTGTGAGCATGGGGCTCTGCAGAAGAAAATCTGATCAACCATCCAGGCACGCGGACTGAGACATCCCCAAGCTCTGAGCGCGAACGGGCACATGTCCCCACCCCTGGTGGCTCCTTACTGGGGTGGCCAAGTGTCACGCCCGCTACATCGCGATGAGCATGGGGCCGTGGCTGTATGAGTGACGTGTGTGTATGAGTTTGGATATGACGTGGCTAAGGATGAATGAATATGAGCGGGAATGAGCGTAAGGATCTCTGAGACTGAAAGTATATGAGTATCAGTGGGTCGGATTGCGAGTGCACCTGAGTGCTAGCGTCACGCACACTCACGTACGTTCACAATCACTAACACTCAAACTCACGCACGCTCTGACTGTGAATGTACCTAAGTGTTGAGCGTGATGAACCGGATTATGAGCGCATCTGGCTGTGAGTGCCTTGAAATCTGAGGGGTCTGAGTGTGCTGAAGAAGAGAGAGAGAGAGAGAGAGAGACAGATATAGCGAGAGAGAGAGAGAGAAAGAGAGAGATAGAGAGAAAGAGAGAAAAGAGAGAGTGAGAGAGAAACAAAACAAACAGAAAGAGAGAGAGAGAGAGAGAAACGGAGAGAGATAGGGAGAGAGAGAGAGAGGAGAGAGCAACAGAGCAGGCGATGAGAGGGAGAAGGAGGCGGGAGTGAGTGAGGAGGCGGAGGCGCCCGAATAAGAACAAGAATCCGATTCTCCTCACGTGTAGAAAGATGCAACACACCAGCGCGAGATCGAGTCTTGGCGCTGCGACCTCGGGCGCCTCTGGCCAACTTCCTCGCGGGGGGCGCCCTCAATGCGAAACTCCATCAGTAGCCTCAAAGTTGAGCACAAAGGACCCACGGCCCCTGCTCATGTGGGGGACAAGACGATAACGATACCGATACTTCCTGAACCACTCCAGGGGAGCGTTCTGAGCACACTTGTGGAGGCGATTCCAGACGTGGCGACGAGGGAAGGGCAGCGGTACCGATATCTCTTCCTCGCCGGGCTGCACGATTGGTTGGTGTTTCTGGGAGCATCTGCGCCGCCCACCGGCAGGAGCCCATCCGAAGGAGCCCAGAGAACCGCAGGCGGTCATCGGAGAGCGCGGCGGCCGCACACCGGGACCCAAACTGCATAAAAGCCCAAACGACCAACAGATCACCAGAACACAAGCGGCCGCGGGGAGGTGCAGTACGCATAAAGTAGGCACGCCCGACAACGCATCATGATACGGGAAATCTTGGGGCACGTTCGTAGGCCATTTTTGATGGCCCTAGTGTGCCCAAGAGCGTGTGGGTCCATGGGGCCATCTTGGGATGAGAAGCTTACGTGGGGCACCTGCTGGAAGGCAGATTGCTTATTTTATGTGCCTACTGTAGACAATTGCGTTAAGGCCTCAACGCCATTTGCGGTTCCGCGACTCGGATCGGATCTTCTGTACGATTTAGATTTGCCTTGAACTAAATGGGCTTACGCTGGAATGCTTCGATTCACGCAGGGTTATCTGGCTCAATTGCCGCAAGTCGACTGGAGAGGAATCGTCAAGCCCCTGGCGCACTTACAAGCAACATCAAGCTCCACCAATGTAAGCAGCGCCTGGGGATACAAAGATGACAAGAAGTAGCCGCTTCTCGAGCTCTTGATTCAGCCACGCATCCAGGGACAGTGTGAGACCAGTCGTTCCCCTCACTCTGTCATCGTGTGTGTGTGTGTGTGTGCGTTCGCCTGTTGGCATCATTCCCGCATCAATGCCTGGCACAGAATCAGGAAAATCCATCCCCAATATTCCAGCGTCGTGTGATTCGAATTCAAGGTCCCTGAGCATCTGGTCCCCTTTCTGGGGACCGGCTTTTCGTCTCGTGTTCTTTGTGACGGCCCTGGGGCCCAATGACAAAAACAATTATGTCGTTATTTCTCTCCAGATTGTGGGTGAAGGATGATGACCCCTTGAAGGTGCGACGGGCGTGAAACGCGCGGCGCACCTTTTGCAACGCAAACATAACATGCCAGCAGCGGCCTGCGGTCAGGTAAAGAAAACGATATGAAATCATTTTTACGTAAATCCAATAGGTTGGTTTCTACGATAGTAGCGTTGACGTCTTAGCTTCGCAACAATCCTTCTAGCCTAATTCCGAGGGGCGCTATCCGTCACAGCGCCTCCGGGCACGGAATGGGCGTGTCCTCAGGTTCACTAAAACATCGGAACCTCAATCCTTACTCCCGAGGAGTCCCTCGGGGCCCCGGAGCCCAAATTGCCAAATCTTCTTGGCTTCCCGCGTGCCCCCTGGGGTCTGGCGCATCGTCTCGCGTGACGTTCACAGGCCAAAGAGGGCCCCAAAACGAGCCAAGAGGGCCCCGTGAGGCCTTCAAGACGGCCCAAGAGGGCCCCGAGACGCCCGAAGATCGCCCCAAGACGCCCAAGATGGCCCCAAGAGGTCCCAAGAGGCCTCCAGAAGTTTCCCCAGCGGGCCCCAAGAGGACAAGATCAATGATCAGAGTGAGGGGGCCGAACGGTCATTCATTGTCCCTGGGTGCATGGCTGACTAGGGAACACTTTGTGAGAATTCTGATTGCTGCGTTGTTGTTGATGTTGCTGTTGATGTTGTTGGTGTGTTTGTTGTTGTTGTTGTTGTTGTTGTTGTTGTTGTGATTGTTGTTGTTGTTGTTGTAGTTGTAGTTGTAGTTGTAGTTGTAGTTGTAGTTGTAATTGTTGTTGTTGATGTTGTTGTTGCTTGTTGTCGTCGTCCCACCCGCGACCCACTCGCGACCCACCTCGCGACCCACCCCGCGACCCACCCCGTGACCCACCCCGCGACCCACCCGCGACCCAACCCGCGACCCACCCGTGACCCACGCGCGACCCACCCGCGATCCACCCGCGACCCACCCCGCGACCCACCCGCCACCAACCCCGCGACCCATCCGCGACCCGTCCGCAACCCACCCGCGACCCACCCGCGACCCAACTCCGCGACCCACCCTCAAGGAAGGAAAAAACACCCGGACCCGACAAGTGACGTTTACTAAACGGCCCTAGGCGTTTACTAAACAACCTGCCCTGTTCGATTCATTTCTTGTGTGCGTTTACTAAGCTGCTTCGCTTGTCGGGGTGATTAGTATGGGGTGGATGTTCTGCCCTCTACACCCGCGACCGACCCGCGACCCTGTTTTGGGACCGCCTGGCGGTACGTCGGAATATATGGAACGGTCTCCTGCCAATTTGAACAACCTTAGGATGCAACTTGGAGCGTCGAAAGCTCTC